TTAACAAGAGAAACTGTCGTTATACGTAAATATGTATGTAGGTACATCAGAAGCCATTTTTATATTACTTTAATATAAAAAAAGGTATCAATTACAAACTTATGGCGTTTTCTTTCCTATTGAAAAATTTTGCCTCATAACATTTGCAATAGGTTACTTTTCGTCCTGAAAAATGGCTACATTTGTAGGGCAATATTTTGAGTAATGAACACGTGAAGCTGTGAAAGGGCTGAAGAAAACAAGCCAGCATTATTTCGAGAAAAGAAAACTCCATTAATTTATATCGAACAAGCTGGCCGCTTTTTAAGTTTTTAACAATTGAACTATTTAATTTTATTTTGATGCCTATATATTCGAAATTCCCGTTTTTAATGACTTACTCTCTCACATGCCTGTCTGAGAGCAATAATAAGCAACAATAAAGTATATTGGTACCATGATACAATTATTCACAGGTATTGTCTTCCCAGAGAGTTTTGCTTCACAGCGAATTCCCAGCTCTTTTCTCTCATTCGTTATTTTCTAAATGTTGCGAATGAAACTTCACACTTAAATTTAAGCCATTCATAACAAAAATTTGATAAATAAGGGCCCCGCTACGTCCTTCTTTGGAAAAATTACAGTGACCCAAATATAAAATGGGACGCGAGATTTTAGCAAGCTTTGGCTATATTTATTTAGTTTATTTAATGTTTATTGCAAAAATTTTGAAAACTGAAAAAATGTCACCAAACTTTTTAACTTTTTAATCAGCATCTTTAGAAAAAAAGCATGATATATGTAGTTTTGTAGTCCATTAAAATTTGGTATATTATGGTGAAAATTTGAAGTAGCTAGGAATTACCGTTAATTTTTTTTTTATTTCTTCTTATAACGGTATTACGAATTTTTTCCATGCAAAGTATGTTCGAAAACTTTTTTAAATGGAAAAAATGCGGAAACCGTAAAAAAAAATGCCAAAAATCAACGGTAAGGGCACTTTACTAAACTAAAATTTTAAATTAAAAAAATTTCTGAATTTTCATAATTTCTGCATAAAATATGCTATACTTTCATAAAAAATAATAAGCTAAAACGTCGCGTCCCATTTTATATTTGGGTCACTGTATATTCACTTAAAATAAAAGTCATTGAAATCGGCGCAGT